CCAGAAACTCTTCTTACAAATACTTTTCACCCACATATTTTCACCCATAGACTCTTCACCAAGAAACTCTTCTTGCACATACTTTTCACCCATATACTTTTCACCCAGAGACTCTTCACCTAGAAACTTTTCTTGCACATACATTTCACCCATATACTTTCACCCAAAGACTCTTCTTGCACCTACTTTTCACCCATATACTTTTCACCCAGAGACTCTTCACCCAGAAACTCTTCTTGCACATATAATGGTCCCACATCGGAGCCTCAATTTTTCCATTGTGTTTCCATCCCATCAATTTCCGTCATTTTACTCTTATTTTACTTGGCATCATTTTGGTCCCACATCAGAGCCGCAATTTTTCCAATGTTTTTTCCATTGTTTTTCTCCACTTCTTCATCATAGTCCAGTCTCTCAATTTTTCCATTGCTTTCCCATCGATCCACGTCGACGCCATAGTTTTTTTTTCATTGCTTTTCCATAGTTTTACTCGACACCATTTTCTCCTTCATTCCAGTCTCCCCAGTGTTTTTTTCACAGTTTTTCCTCCAGTTTTACTCAATCGTCTTTCTTCCATGGTTTTCTTTCCGTGCGTCTACTCCATAGTGGTCACACATCAAAACTGCCATTTTTCCATTGCTTTTCCAATGTTTCACGCGTGCTTTACGTGACCTGGCATCATTTTACCCGCTCCTCATTGTTTCCACCAATTTTCCTCGCGTTGTAATCAATTTTCCAAACGTTCCACTCCAATTTTCCATTGCTTTCCCATTCATTTGTTCATTGTTTTTCCCATATTTTATGCTATCAATTTATCTTTCCATTTCATCACTTTTCACAGTGTTTTGCCATGGTGTTACTCGATTTCTTCAGTGTGTCTAACGCTTACCCAAATGCACCTTCCACAATCCCTACAGTTGCACCGTATAAACGGTTTTGCTCGTTTCTTCCATGTTTTTTTTCTGTGCTTCTACTCCATAGTGGTCACACATCGAAACTGCAATTTTTCCATTGCTTTTCCCTTGTTTCACGCATGCTTTACGCGATAATGGTCCCACATCGGAGCCTCAATTTTACTTGGCATCATTTTACCCTCTCCCTATTCTTTCCACCGTTTCTCCTCGCGTTTTAAACAATTTTCCAAGCGTTCTACTCAAATTTTCCATTGCTTTCCCATTTTTTTCCATTGTTTTATGTCAAAGTCCCTCCTTTTTTCCATTGTTTTTCTCATCATTTTCCCCTCCATTGCAATCTGCCCAGATACCCATATACTTTTTACCCAGAGACTCTTCACCCAGAAACTCTTCTTGCACATACTTTTCGCCCAGATACTTTTTACCCAGAAACTCTTCACCCAGAAACCTCTTCTTGCACATACTTTTCACCCGTACTTTCACCAGAGATTCTCACCCAGAAGAAACCTCTTGCACAGACTTTTTACCCAGAGACTCTTCACCCAGAAACTCTTCTTGCACATACTTTTCACCCATATACTTTTCACCCAGAAACTCTTCACCCAGAAACTCTTCTTGCACAGACTTTTCACCCATATACTTTTCACCCAAAGACTCTTCACCAGAAACTCTTCTTGCACTTACTTTTCGCCCATATACTTTTTACCCAGAGACTCTTCACCCAGAAACTCTTCTTGCACATACTTTTCACCCATATACTTTTCACCCAGAGACTCTTCACCCAGAAACTCTTCTTGCACATACTTTTCACCCAGAGACTCTCATCCAGAAAAACTCTTCTTGCACATACTTTTCCACCCATATCCTTTTGACCCAGAGGACTCTTTCACCAGAAACTCTTCTGGCAATACTTTTACACATTATACTTTCCACCCAGAGACTCTTCACCCAGAAACTCTTCTTGCACATACTTTTCACCCATATACTTTTCACCCAGAGACTCTGCACCCAGAAACCCTTCTTGCACATACTTTTCACCCATATACTTTTCACCCAGAGGCTCTTCACCCAGAAACTCTTCTTGCACACCCAGAGACTCTTCACCCAGAAACTCTTCTTGCACATACTTTTCGCCCATATACTTTTTACCCAGAAACTCTTCACCCAGACACTCTTCTTGCACATACTTTTCACCCATATACTTTTCACCCAGAGACTCTTCACCCAGAAACTCTTCTTGCACATACTTTTCACCAATATACTTTTCGCCCAGAGACTCTTCACCCAGAAACTCTTCTTGCACAGACTTTTCAACCCCATATATACTTTTCACCCAGGAGACTCTTTTGCACATTTGTAAACTTTTCAACATTATACTTTCCACCCAGAGACTCTTCACCCAGAAACTCTTCTTGCACATACTTTTCACCCATATACTTTCCACCCAGAGACTCTTCACCCAGAAACTTTTCTTGCACATACTTTTCACCAATATACTTTTCACATCTTTTCACCCAGAGACTCTTCACCCAGATACTCTTCTTGCACAGACTTTTCACCCAGAAACTCTTGACTCTTCACCCAGAAACTCTTCTTGCACATACATTTCACCCATATACTTTCATCCAGGAAACTCGTCACCCCAGAAACTCTTTTGCACAAAAGTTTACCCATATACTTTTCACCTAGAGAATCTTCACCCAGAAACTCTTCTTGCACATATAATGGTCCCACATCGGAGCCTCAATTTTTCCATTGTGTTTCCATCCCATCAATTTCCATCATTTTACTCTTATTTTACTTGGCATCATTTTGGTCCCACATCAGAGCCGCAATTTTTCCAATGTTTTTTCCATTGTTTTTCTCCACTTCTTCATCATAGTCCAGTCTCTCAATTTTTCCATTGCTTTCCCATCGATCCACGTCGACGCCATAGTTTTTTTTCATTGCTTTTCCATAGTTTTACTCGACGCCATTTTCCCCTTCATTCCAGTCTCCCCAGTGTTTTTTTCACAGTTTTTCCTCCAGTTTTACTCAATCGTCTTTCTTCCATGGTTTTCTTTCCGCGCGTCTACTCCATAGTGGTCACACATCAAAACTGCCATTTTTCCATTGCTTTTCCAATGTTCACGCGTGCTTTACGTGACCTGGCATCATTTTACCCGCTCCTCATTGTTTCCACCAATTTTCCTCGCGTTGTAATCAATTTTCCAAACGTTCCACTCCAATTTTCCATTGCTTTCCCATTCATTTGTTCATTGTTTTTCCCATATTTTATGCTATCAATTTATCTTTCCATTTCATCACTTTTCACAGTGTTTTGCCATGGTGTTACTCGATTTCTTCAGTGTGTCTAACGCTTACCCAAATGCACCTTCCACAATCCCTACAGTTGCACCGTATAAACGGTTTTGCTCGTTTCTTCCATGTTTTTTTCTGTGCTTCTACTCCATAGTGGTCACACATCGAAACTGCAATTTTTCCATTGCTTTTCCCTTGTTTCACGCATGCTTTACGCGATAATGGTCCCACATCGGAGCCTCAATTTTACTTGGCATCATTTTACCCTCTCCCTATTCTTTCCACCGTTTCTCCTCGCGTTTTAAACAATTTTCCAAGCGTTCTACTCAAATTTTCCATTGCTTTCCCATTTTTTTTCCATTGTTTTATGTCAAAGCCCCTCCTTTTTTCCATTGTTTTTCTCATCATTTTCCTCCTTTCCCATTTTTTTCCCATTGTTTTATGTCATATTCCCTCATTTTTTCTATTGTTTTTCTCATCATTTTCCCCTCCATTGCAATCTCCCCAAGTCCACCTCGGAGGGCGGACCAGGGGGGAATCGATACCCCACCGTCACCCAATTGCCACCTGGTACATAACCCTAAAAAAGTTTACCTGTGGCCACCTTTTTTACCACCTAATTTCCCGATTTTTGGCCAGTTAGGGGCGCTCTGCCCCCAGACCCCCTTAACTCACTTTGTTCGCAAAAAGAACTTCGCCTAGCCTAGCGGCTGGCTTTCGTGACAAGTCGAGTAAGTTGAGGTTCGGACACAATGAGAGTGGTAATTGCATGTGATGCCAATTGTTTCAAGTGCCAGGGAACCGTGCCATTTTTAAGTTGAACGTAGTGAAATCAATGCGAAATCTAAGATGGTGCTCTGCAATGCCATGAAAATTCTATCTGAATATCAAACCCAGTAACCTGCAGGGATGTTTTAGCACGAGAAAATATAATAAAAATCCCATGGCAAAGTGTGACCAGGTGCCTGGGATACTTGCATCGTTGTGGCTGTTGTTTCCATCAGGAAATGTGTTCTGATTCGTTTTTGTGTTCTTATTATATCTTATTATTGCAACATATTGCAACTCATACAATTGAAGAGCATAGAGCATCGCAGTGGAGGACATGTAGGGACCAAATGGCCAGGAGGTGAGGGCCAGCCATCCCCCCACGGAGTTCCCATTTCCTGCGTTGGCTCAAGTGTCTCTGCCATCCTGAGTGTCATGAGTGTCATGAGTGTCATGAGTGTCATGCTGACTCCATTTCACTAGAGCGCGGGAACACTGGGACACAGCTGGGACACAGCCTGATAGCCATAAATAGTAGCTAGAATCAGCTAGAATGCTAGATATGATATTGATATAACTGATATAAGTGTAAATATCAAAACTCATGTGATGCGACACACCTCTCAAGGCTTCGACTTCCTGCTCCACTGCTTCACACTCCAAACATCCAGCCCCCTCCAGCCCCCTCAAGGCTTCTGAAGCTTTCTCAACAAATCTCAACAAGCAGCTCTTGAAGGTGCGTTCGAATACTGGACATCTCCTGAGAGCAACAAATGACACCGTGCTGATCGTGCACAGTAACGCACCATGATATTTCAACAACGTGGTTGGTGCTACGTATTGGTACGTGCTGCACAACCATCAACCACCTTTTCCTTGTTTAGTCGCAAGCAGGTCTTTACCTCTAGCAGAATCTAGCAGAAGCCACCAATGCACTCAACCGGTGGGAAGAAAAAAGTAGCTTGTGGCAGCTTGGTTCACAGGATTTCTGGGTGGTTTGCTGTCACAGCTAGTATCGAGGTGAGCAATGATTTTCCAGATCTCAATCCTAAGCAACTCCGGAGAACATGCGCTAAGTTAATCCTCAATTTAGAAAAGTGCCTCGAACCTGCTCTACTCCCAAATGATCTCATCTTCTGCAAAAACTCGCATTGTACCAAAACAACGCTTTAAAACCAAAAAGTAATTTTGAATCGGGGGGTTGGAGGTCGTCATGAATATCAAGCTGCCAGTCTGGCAATACCAGCCCCGCCCCGCCCCAGCCCTACTGCCACGGCCCACACCTGTTTGACGCCTTGTGTGACTTCAGCACTTCCAATAAAGGCGCTGTAGTTCTGCACGGCCAGCTGTTCCATCTCTCTCTCACAGCGATCCTCAGAGCACATGCAGCACGTGCAGTATGTGAATCAGTGGAGTTTCTGATGGTTCAGGCTGGTTCAGGGACCAATCCTCTGCAGATCATCTTGAGTGCAGCTCCACAGGGTGAATAGATTTGATATCTCATGATGATATGTGAGATGATAAGATATGATAAGGGTGCGTGCGAACCTACCTTGGCTTGGCTGCCACCTGGTGCAGAATCCAAACTTGGAGTAAAACTTTCTACCTGAAGTCAATCAGATCAAACAGTCCTTCTCCACCTTGAGGTTGTCCGGCTCGCGTGCCAATGCCTCATACCTCACCCGCAAACACCAATTACTGACTGGATAACGGCTCAGTGCCCCTCTGAGTTTCAATGAACTCATGCAAAAGAAACAGGGCACAAATATTTGACTTGCGCAAATCTAGAGTTTGTGTTAATGTGCTCAAATTCGAATGTACTGTGCTCTGCGTCAAAGAAAGACAGTTTCAAGAAAGCAAATAAACAAAGGAAAATCCACGACCAGTGTCGTTAAACTCCCTCAAGGCTCTTCCAAATTTCCCGTGCGACGGCGAACACCTTCCCATAAGGCAAGTGGCGTCGAGGATGTGAGATGCGGAAAGTAGGATCTCGCAACGTCTATCAGCGCAGGATTGGCCCTGAGGCAGGATGAGTCCAGGAGTCTAGAAAATTGAAAGCCAGACCTGCGAAGCAAATTCTTTGGCCAGTAGCCGCTCAGTAGCCCTTTCAGCCCTTTCCCAAGAATTCTATCAAGCCGTTGGAGACAGTTTGACTTCACAGTACATCCAACATCTATGGTCAACTCGGGTTCCTTTGTGATACATTTCGAGTTGACTCCTTTGGTCCTTTGGTCGTAGAGTCACATTGTCAGACAGATTGTATTGAGGAAGAGTCGCCTTCGTCGCTTTGAGGCTTACTGGGCTTATCTTATCAAATCATTGTGACTCGTGGCAAGATAAAAATCATCTGCAGCATAAAGCTGCTGAAGCCCCCACTTTTGCAGCTCTGGCAGCTCTTCGCCAAAGACCTGGACTTGGCAAAGCTTTCTCACATGTCGGAGCAACAAATCTCGCTTGGCTTCTGCTGGTTTCATTCTTTTGTACTGTGTTGCCAGTGTTGCCACGTAATGTGTGTGTGTATGTGCTGTCATGTTCTTCACTGATTTTTATGTAAAGAATTCTATTGTTTCCCTATGTTTTTCCATATGTCTCCATGTATGTCTCCATATGTCTCCTGTCTCCCACCTGAAGCATCAGCCCATCATCCGCAGCATGTCGCAAGCGCCAGGCACGCTGGTACCCTTCCAGGTCGACCTTCGCCCAGCTGTGGCTCAACATGAAATAGAGCAGCAGAAGCAGCGAAAAGATGCGAAAAGTACAATTTGACAATTTCAAGATATTTCAAGATATTTCAAGATATTTCAAGTGCGGATAAGTTCGGTGCTAAAGTAAAGTACTTGGCAAAGGGCTGATCGCAAGCTTGACAGTTTTACGGAATATGCGATCGCTTCTGAGACTCTTGGCCAATTAGCCAAGCCACAGCCATAGTGTTAGCAGCTGTTAGCACATCACGTCCGGATCCATGTTGCCAGGAAACCGAGGATCCGCTCTCTCTGGGACATTCTTCTCAACAATTCGACTGCTTTGATAATATGTTTTTTGTTTGTTCTTCCACTTTGCACAAATTGCATCCAAATGATTCTGAAAGAACCCAACAAGCAACCTTAGAACAAGTGAGAGACTGGACTGCTGACTGGGTACTGGTAGCATGCAAGTAGTTGGCCCCAATTCTTTCATTTTTCACCCGTCCCCTGTTTCTTGCTACTCTGCGGCTCAGTCAGAGTTTGTCATGGAGTTGGCAGTGAAAACAAAGTCGAGGAATCCAACAAAGTTGAAGCACGAACTAGCTCCGCATGACCCAGTCTTGCTGCTTGTGTTCAAGAGTAACTTTGACACCTTCACACTGCAGAAGTTAGCAGCATCATGTCACTCCAACGACAATTGTTCGTTTCGCCTTTCACAAGTTACGTTTGACTGGCCGGCAATGATTTCAAATCTTATCTAGAACCAGAATGAAGTTTACCTTCGGTTCTTGTTTGACCACCCCAAAGTAAAATCAAAAAATGCTGAAGAAAATCTCTCTGCATCACAGCACCCGCCTTCTTGTGCAGCTTCCGCAGCCAAACGCGCCTCCTCTGCGAGACGCTCTTCTTCGGCCAAACGTGCCTGTCACCGAAATCGAAATCACAGGCGTCACAAAGGTTGCATAGGAATGAGGTCTAAAGTTTGCTACACGGAAGAGTCCCTTCCTCTCCATGATGTAAATCCAAAAGCATCAGAATGCAAGGATAGACTCCAAGGTTGTGTGCTGCAGCTATGCAAACAGGAAGAAAACAAAAACGCGTGGGTCCGAAAGCGGTTTACTGTCTTAGAAAGCCTCCATATAAGTTTGCACTCTGCACGATGTAAAATCATGCAGCTCCTGCGAAACACGACTAAGCTGACCTGACCCATTTCTCGAGACTTTTGGAACCAAACAACACTTGTCACATGGAAAATACGGAGCCCTAAATCTTTTCAATTGCTCTGAAGTCAATTTCCAGGTCATAGGTCTGGCTGCGCCTCCTCTTCCTGTCGCAATCTCTCAGCCTGGCGGTCAGGATCTTGGACAAACAAACGGCTTGCTCGGCTTTCTCCGCTTGTCAAAAGCTCTTACGTTGATCCGTTCATCACACTGAATTTGTGCATGTTGATTGTTCATCTGCTTTTCTCATGGCTTCAAAGGGCTCAACACTTTCCACAGCTTTCCATATTTTTCCACTATGAAAAAAAACAATATATACTATATATATATATACGTGTGTGTATTGTATATCATGTATTACCAATGCAAAGCTCGTGAATCGCACCTCCTCTTCGAGGCGTTTTTCATGCAACGCTTTCGCTTCATCTTGTTCGTCAGTGGTGACCTTCACGAAGACAAGCAAAAAGGTGCACAAAAAGTGCACAAAAGCGATAGCGTCGCTGGAACATCTGGAAGCCTCGTGAATATGCGTTAATATTGTTGGGAAATGTTAGGAAATGTTAGGACATGTTGGGAACATCTGTGCCAGACGTCTGTGGATTGCAACGCTTCTCGGCTCGCCTCTTCACCATTGAGTTGCTGGAGAGGTCGAAAGATTAGAGTCTCCAAACGGAGATTCACACCATCCTGGAAGGGCTGCTTCAGGGATGCTTCACGCGCTGACGCGAGCATGGCACCCACACTGGGAATTGTTCTGAAACGACTTTGAAGCATTGACGACAATGACGCAGCTCTTGGATGCCGCCTTTGACAGCTCTACAATCTTGCAGCTTTCTGGAGGCCATCAGTGAACCAGAGTATTTTGGTTCGCAAGCAGCACAAACAAATCACAAACAAGGCAGGTGCTAATTAGGGACCCTCAAATGGATGCTTTGAACATGTCCGCGTGTATTCGCAGCACTTCATGAGATGGGTTCAACGCATCAGTGTTGAATGGCCTGCAGCCTGCATGTGACTCGGAAGTGAAGATGTGTATTTCGCTTCAGCGGTCAGCCCTTCTTTACGTTTGTTCAAATTCTGATCTTTTTCTGTGGTGCGGAGTGTCATTGTGAATATATAATGTCAAGTGAGTGCGCGAGTTCAAGCATAAATGGCAGTGTGCATATTGTGCATCAAATGTGCGGATCAAGTGCGCATCACTGAATACCCCCACCCACCCTCGGCCCCATCCCACCCCCATTTCATCGGAGCACGTGGCAGCAAGTGCGCGTCCCCCGTTCCACCGTTCCACCGTTCCACCGCACCCCAAGCATTGTGTAAGTAGAGTGTAGCATCAACCGCTTGCACAAGCTCAAGATGACTCAAGGTGAAGATTGTATTGGCCCAACTCCCCAGGGTATATACCTATACCATGATCAAAATCAACAGCCTCTGCAAGGTAGTTGTTTTAACGCCTGCCACATGGAACTGCACTAACAATGCTTTCTTGGGCGGTCCTGCTCTTCCAAAGGACAGCCAGTCAGCGTCAAACTCCTGACAATTTATCAGCTTCATGTGATAGTGTTGGCAGAAGTTTGAAATGCAGCTGTCCGAGGGAAATCAAGCCTGAAGCCTGCCATATGCAATATAACACATAGTTCTTTCATAATATTCGATATGGTGTTTAACTTGTTTATAGTTACATGACATGTATGACATTGTATAACTGTTGTAATCTGTTGTACCTATACAACACATAATTCAGATCGCCGGATCATGCCGGATCGCTAGATGGAACATGGCATGAGGGCCTGAGGTTCGTCTCTGCCAGAGGCTCCAAGGCCTTGATCTCTGCGAAGGCATTGTTGCCACCTTCGAGGACACCCAAAGCTGCCTGGCGTCTCCACAAACTCCGACAAACTCCATCTATACTGCAGAGGTACTTCCAAGTGTCTCCAAAGTTGCTGGGGTTTGGAGAAGCTTGTTTTGGTGTCTTGAAAGTGTCATGCTGTGGCGTGGCATCATGGGCTTTACGAAATTTGGCGACAAGCGTGTCAATGATTTGGATTTGCTTTCAGGTTATGTAGTTGGAGTTGCATGCTTGCACCGCGAAAATCCATGCAGGCGGATCTGCATGCAGCTCGCTTCCCGTACGTCTTGATCATCTGTTCTTTACCTGTCGTTTTTGTTTGCAATGCTTTGTTCCTCTTCCTTCGGCTGTATTTTCATATGTACAAACCCCAAACAAACCTTGTTAATGTCTGCGCGCAGCTCATTTCACTGAGGAATGAGCACTTTTTTGGTGACACCTTCGATGTGCTGTGTTTTCATATGTACAAACTCCAGGCATACTTTGAAAACATCTCTGTGCTGCGCATTCTATTGGAGAAAGCCATGCCATGACCACACCTTTGATCTGCTGTGTTTTCATATGTACAAACCCCAATCAAACCTCAATTCTAGGCAGCGGACGAAACCTACAGTTGCCGCGCGCAAAAAAAGAAATTAATTGAACTTTCCTTTAAAATCCTGTCGCACCTGCTGGCATCGTCCGGCCCCATAGATTTGAGGTTTGAACAAGGTTTGCTTGAGGTTTGTACATATGAAAAACCAGCATGCCAGAGCTTTGCCACTTGAAGTGTTCCTGCCATTGTAAAGTGTCCGATGGGACGTGTATTCCGAGTTTGTTCGAGGTTTGTACATATGAAAACACAGCATGTGAGAGTGTACTGGCAGCCAGCGTGCTTTTCTTGAGCCTTTTCCGGGCGGGTTGATGCTTGCTCATGTTGCCGGAAGCGTTAGCACAGACCTCAATGTTTGAGAGAGAATGGCAAATCCATGTGTCTCACAGGCAGATTGCCATTCAGCAACTACTGCGTCCATGATGATTTTGTGGTTTTTCCTGTTGTTGTTTTGTTTTATGGGCCTGCGAATATGACACATAAGTTGTCATCTGCATGCGCCGAGATGATACTAAGCTATCACCTCTTGCCTCAACAGATCTTTTTCACCCATAACTGGAACCTGTCACGTCACTGCTTTGTGGTTGTGTGGTTGTGTCTTTTGTGTGGGTTGTTTTTGTTTGTGTTTGTTTTTGGTGTTGTTTTTGCTTTTGGTTCTTTGTGTTTCGGTTCTTGTTCTCTGGCAACGTGACAAGGGAATAGGACTATGTATCGGTCCTCTACCAGTTTACTTTTGCGGCCACTACAGCTTCGGCCCCTGCGTGAATTAATTAATTAATCTCATATGCAACATGCTTGAAAACATGTTGAACGACCTGGCGGAAGCCATACGGCGTTGGACGGAAAAAAAAATCAGCAACTACTGCGTCAGTAGTCTGGCTGCTAGCTTTAGATTTCATCTTTACTCTATGTGTATCCCCTTGCCCCGGAATTTTAATATTGGATGTTGTGCAAACGAGAAGCTTCTTAGATTGATCGCACACCGGCGCGTTCGATTTTTCACGTTTATGTTTGTATCAACATTGGTCTTGGGGGCAGGGGGGACTCGTTGAATCTAATTCAAGCTTTGGAAAGTATTGTGATCCCGGAGACTTATGAGTGTACCTCCTCAGTGTCAACATGATACAGAAAAACGGTGTATGATCTTCGATTCTGGCATGATGACGTATGAAGAGAGTCACGTGCTTCGCTGTTGAAGAATGGAACTTTATGCTAGACATACGCCTAGGTTGTGCGAGCATCTGTAAAAGGGTTGTCGGGCACATTCACTGGGAGTTTTTTTTTTGGGCGCCGCAACATTTCTTTTCGTTTTGGACAGTTTGTGTCTCTTTTGACAGAGGCCATTTTTAGTTTCAAGTTCTGGGAGACCGCTTCTATTGTTTCATTAGGCGAAGCCAAAAATGGCTTCATTTTTGGGATCAATTTTTGGCTTCGAGTTTGGAGCCAAAATCTATCTTTTTTGGCGTTTGTGGCAGGTAATTCCCGATTGTGTTGGACGCGACAGGATGCGAGCAGAGTGAGTTGTTGCTGCTCTGCTGTGGTTCTACAAGCATGATTCCGGCAGCTTCGCTCTGAAACAAATCCCTTGCCACAGGCTGCTCCATGATGGTGTATCCATGAGTTGACACATGCTGCCTTCTAGGCTTCAAGACGATGCAGCGGAACTGCAGAGGTACTTCCAAGTGTCTCCAAAGTTGCTGGGGTTTGGAGAAGCTTGTTTTGGTGTCTTGAAAGTGTCATGCTGTGGCGTGGCATCATGGGCTTTACGAAATTTGGCGACAAGCGTGTCAATGATTTGGATTTGCTTTCAGGTTATGTAGTTGGAGTTGCATGCTTGCACCGCGAAAATCCATGCAGGCGGATCTGCATGCAGCTCGCTTCCCGTACGTCTTGATCATCTGTTCTTTACCTGTCGTTTTTGTTTGCAATGCTTTGTTCCTCTTCCTTCGGCTGTATTTTCATATGTACAAACCCAAACAAACCTTGTTAATGTCTGCGCGCAGCTCATTTCACTGAGGAATGAGCACTTTTTTGGTGACACCTTCGATGTGCTGTGTTTTCATATGTACAAACTCCAGGCATACTTTGAAAACATCTCTGTGCTGCGCATTCTATTGGAGAAAGCCATGCCATGACCACACCTTTGATCTGCTGTGTTTTCATATGTACAAACCCCAATCAAACCTCAATTCTAGGCAGCGGACGAAACCTAGAGTTGCCGCGCGCAAAAAAAGAAATTAATTGAACTTTCCTTTAAAATCCTGTCGCACCTGCTGGCATCGTCCGGCCCCATAGATTTGAGGTTTGAACAAGGTTTGCTTGAGGTTTGTACATATGAAAAACCAGCATGCCAGAGCTTTGCCACTTGAAGTGTTCCTGCCATTGTAAAGTGTCCGATGGGACGTGTATTCCGAGTTTGTTCGAGGTTTGTACATATGAAAACACAGCATGTGAGAGTGTACTGGCAGCCAGCGTGCTTTTCTTGAGTCTTTTCCGGGCGGGTTGATGCTTGCTCATGTTGCCGGAAGCGTTAGCACAGACCTCAATGTTTGAGAGAGAATGGCAAATCCATGTGTCTCACAGGCAGATTGCCATTCAGCAACTACTGCGTCCATGATGATTTTGTGGTTTTTCCTGTTGTTGTTTTGTTTTATGGGCCTGCGAATATGACACATAAGTTGTCATCTGCATGCGCCGAGATGATACTAAGCTATCACCTCTTGCCTCAACAGATCTTTTTCACCCATAACTGGAACCTGTCACGTCACTGCTTTGTGGTTGTGTGGTTGTGTCTTTTGTGTGGGTTGTTTTTGTTTGTGTTTGTTTTTGGTGTTGTTTTTGCTTTTGGTTCTTTGTGTTTCGGTTCTTGTTCTCTGGCAACGTGACAAGGGAATAGGACTATGTATCGGTCCTCTACCAGTTTACTTTTGCGGCCACTACAGCTTCGGCCCCTGCGTGAATTAATTAATTAATCTCATATGCAACATGCTTGAAAACATGTTGAACGACCTGGCGGAAGCCATACGGCGTTGGACGGAAAAAAAAATCAGCAACTACTGCGTCAGTAGTCTGGCTGCTAGCTTTAGATTTCATCTTTACTCTATGTGTATCCCCTTGCCCCGGAATTTTAATATTGGATGTTGTGCAAACGAGAAGCTTCTTAGATTGATCGCACACCGGCGCGTTCGATTTTTCACGTTTATGTTTGTATCAACATTGGTCTTGGGGGCAGGGGGGGACTCGTTGAATCTAATTCAAGCTTTGGAAAGTATTGTGATCCCGGAGACTTATGAGTGTACCTCCTCAGTAAATGGACTAAATGGACTAAATGGACTTGAATATGCCAGAAATTGCTAGAAATTGCTAGAATGGATTCGACAAATGTGGGATTTTCCTTCGTTCAGTCCAAACTCTCATCGATTTCCTCCCTTTCCAACTCCAACCTTCCTCCCTAGGACCCTTGGCGGTGAATTCTGCAAAAGGCAACACTATTACGGGCTGGAATGCATGCCGAAGGCCCAAGGAGCAACTTCAAACTACTGTATGACACTGTATGAAAATGAATGCCGAGTGTTTGAAAAAACTGTTTTACAGAAATCACAAAATATCACAAACACCGTTCAACGTTCAGCAGGAATACTTTTACTTTCCAAGCTCTGACAAACCTGATTTTCTTGAGACGCTGTGAAATTGTCATTCTGGCAAAGAAAAGCTCTGGTCCGGCCATCTCTTTCCACGGAGCTTTGAGACTTTCGAACTTGTTGTTCGAAATGTCAAGACTCGACAAAAGAGGCAACCTCAAAGGATTGCTGGATAGAAACTGGATATAGTGGATGAAAGTGGATATGGATCCATTTGACCCCAAACACTAGCTCTGAGCCCATGACATTGACACACCCTCAAGGTCCGACAAAGAATTTCGGCTCAACTGGGACGCGTCGATAGCTGTTGCAGACCATGAAGCCCACAGAATTGGAAGCGGTCTGCAAACGGCACGGCAAAAACTCAAGGGCAAACGGCCTCCAAGACCTCTAGCTTTGGCATTTTGTGCAATCCAGCGGCCTGAGTGCGGCAACAAAGTGAAATGATTTTGAGATAAAATTTGCCACCGCGTCGGTATGTAGAACGTCAAACCATCTACAAAGGATTGAAGGATGGACAAGCATACGATAATCATAAAACCTAAAGAATCCCCGACCAAATGTTGACTTGTTGTCATTGACATTGTTGTCCCAACAAAATTCAGAAGTGGCACCTATCCCAAAGACAACTTCGCCAGGGACGGAATAATCATCCGTCAATTGCCTGCTTCACTCCACTTTGTACTATGCAGGATCTTAGTGAAACTGATATTCTGGGCCCATGGCAGAGGTCAGCTGGTTTCCAGAGAGACGCAGCGTTTGCAAAGTTGGATGTCCAGGAAACTTTGAACACCTGCAACGAAGACATTACGAAGCTTGGCTCTGTCAAGCCACAAAGCATGTCTAAAGAGTCTAATGCAGGCGACTTAGTGGCGTACGAAGCAATCTCATTGTCTCTAAAATCAGCTCTCCTCACAGGCAGAGCAAAAATCCGGAGAGCTTACAGAAAAGATGTTCAATCTGCTGACAGAAATATGTGCCAAAGGAGTAATCTAGCGCCTTGCAATAAAAAAGTATCTTTATGCTCTTGTGAGCTTCAATGAGTGCAAGAAGGTCCTGAGTGCTGGCATGTGAAGCCTCGGCAATGTGGAAGCCCTTGATTCAAAGTTCGGAACACGTCGGTCCCGTGCTCAGTCAAATTCTGTCAAATCATTTTGACCTGTCACCAGCTCCCAGCCCATGTCGAATCATCAATTTAGCCGGAAAACTGCGGTAGCTCCATCAGCTTGTTGCCCGCCATGTCTAGGAAGAGCAAATGTGTCAGGTCCTCCCCGATGCCACCACCGAACCACTTGGAACAAAAGGTCTCGTTGACCAAAGGTGAAAATGGGAAGATTGAAAAAGGGCAGGCGAAAATCAGAGCGAAGAGGAACCTTTTAAGTGCACAAAGTTCAGGCATATAGGTAACTTCTTAGACTCAAATGAAACAAGCCTGATCCTGGCAAAGTTAAAGTGAACATGTCTCTCATGAATTAAAATTAGATCAAGACAGAAACGTGAGGCATTGATACAACAAAGTGAGAACTTGATACCCCTGGATCATATAATTATATATAACTATAACCTTTTCTGCACGTCTTTAACATTCTTAAACCACATAGACACATAGGAGACATAGATATAGGACTTTGTGTTCTTGGCAACTGCAAGGCTCTGTTCACATGGCCCTTCCCTTCCCTTGCCCTTCTGCCTCTGGAGCCCAATCTGTGCTGGAGATACTGTTGGACCTGTGCAATATGAAGTGGCGGCAATGGCTCATTGGTTTAAACGGTTTAAACACCTTTGAAGAGACATACCGGGAACCCAGTATCTAAAAGCGATCAGAAATGGCCAGAGATGGCCAGAGGAAATCAGCACCAAGATCACAAAGCGCATGGCACCACCAGTTCTTTATCTTCTGTGGTGCCCGCAGAGGCGGTACCTCCTCCGCCATGGCCAGTGCAAACTTTAGCTATTGTTACGTGTCAGGGCACTCAAGACCCTCGCAGGTGTAGGGTTCACAATATCCGAATTTGATCTTCTCATCTGTCCGTGCTGACCCGACCAGACTCCTGTCTCATACGCACAGACTCCACCCGATGCAACATGACGTAACATGGCAACAAGTCACGTGTGCGCCTCAGGTTGAGTGAAAGCACATGGCGAAGCGCACTGATAGGGCGAATATCCTGCCGATTTGTGCTATGTCAGCTATGTGCACCTCCTTAATCTCCCCCTTGCTGAAAAAAATCCGCTGACTGAACCATCTCTTCAACCGGAATGAACAACAATTTGATACCGTAGACACCAGCCAACGGTTGCTATGAATCCTATTTTTTTCCATTAATTGTACGGTAATTTCAGATTGCAAAGCAACAAGGATACGCCAACATGACCTAAGCACTCTCCTTGATGCAGTTTTTGGACAGATCAAGGTGTCGAATGAAAGGATACCTTGCTGCACTTGCCGTAAGGTCCAAATGGCAAGAAGTGCAATGAACATCAATGAGGGTTGTCAACCGCTATTGCAACTACACCATTTCACTGCTGTTGTTGCACTTTCAAATTTAAATAGGCAAATCTTCATTTAGGGTCCAGAGTGTCAGGCCAATCACCACGTCACCATTGTATCTTTGCAATTTTGTGTAGTTCCCAGGTCGCAGCACTGAGGAAAGGACTCTGTCAGCAAACCCAAACCACCAATTTGTTTTCCAACACCTTGATGAATGAAAATCCGGAAACATTTCAATCGGCACAAATTAAAATATAGAGCACCACTACCTTTTCCCCCTTACACACGCACACACACACAGCAACTGGAGTTTCGAGTTTCAAATTTTACCTAAGAGTTTTGAATCGGCATCAATTCATTTCCATATAATAATCATCAATGTCCTTTCGACTCTCAGGTTAATGTCAAAAACTAGGGCATATCATATCAATTCAGTTCTCTGCATTGGAACACCGGGTTGCGCTCAACACCCAGTGCATCGCGTATGGTCTGTGTTCCGAAAAAACGGTGTATTGTAATATCATACAACAAATGGAGGACAAACGTCCAAGGGTTCATAAGAAATCAAGTCGATATCGGGAATTCCCCTTGGTGTAATGCACGAAGTTGGCACACTAAGGTCCCAGCAATCCAGCCGAGCATATGCAAATCCTGATTTTTTTTCTGAGATTCAATTGGCAAAGAATGCTCGGTGTAGTCTGTGTAGATTTTTCGTTGACCACCACAGGAACCCATTGCACCCAAAAGAAATGTTGTTCCTAATAGACCAAACAACGTAACTGAAAAAATAACAGAAGATACAGTAAATATATAATGAAAATATCTGATGTATACACATCTAAATATGTCAAATTTCAAACAATTTAATGAGGAAAACAGGAGGAAAGGTGCAATCCTTCGCCGCCCACTGTCTTGTCAACTTCTGAAAGGTGAAGGTCCTGCCCACGCGGAAGAATGCAAGAAATTGAACCAACCCCTGAACCCCATGTTCAATGGTCTTTGCAAACGTGTCTTCTGTGGTTTTCAAACGTCAACCAAAATCAAAACCTTGGTAAACATGTTCTGTCGCTATTCCCTGCCACACTCCGTCTAACCACAACTGGCAAACAACACCGACAGCGCCTTGCAGTTTGCAACAAAATCATTTTCCACTGATGTTCCAACCCGCACCTCTGGTGCCAAATCCTTCCCAACGTCGTCCGCCATGTTGCAACCAATGAAATTTGCGTTTACAATTTGCATCAAAACATGGACAAGGATGCGCAATTTTATTTGTTGTTGTTGGTGAAAAAATTGTAACGCAATGGTCCAATGGTACTACCAAACACAAAGAATTTGTTGAATATTTCACAAAGTAGTAGTGCGAACAATCATGCGTTTGGGAATAGAAGGTGATCATGTTTAAAAACCGAAACACTGAAATTGGGGCGGCAGAAGAAATGCCCATCATGAGCGTGACACCCCGTGTCGCTTCCAGCAATTTGAAACCCGCAACAAAAAAAACCTTGTAAAATAACAACGTTGAAAGTCATTAGAATAAACCGTGTCAAAAATCACTATGGCCAATCGGATAGCTGCAAACATGCCCGTTCGAAAACGCCGCACATGTAACAATGAAAACCAATTTCCGAAACGAAATGTCAAATTGAACGAATTGAGTGTACTTTGGTGCCGTCATATGGCAGGCAAAAAAAATAGTAATGTGACAAAACTCAGCGGAGCGCTCAAGTGCAACTTTTACTGCACACTCTCTTTGAGCCACTGTTTGGGCACAGCATGCACATGTCTCGATGTGCGTGTCATCCTTGGCCATGCTAATCTTCTCTGTCTCACCTCAATCCACCTGGAGCCTACCGCATGCACATGAGTCTGATGGAATAAATTTGACACCCAACCTTGGTTTCACATCCCTTGGGAATTTGGAACCATCCTTGCAAATTTGGCCAGTTACCAGGCCATCTGTGCTGCTAATTGCACCTGTTTCGCGACTTTGGCTCCAGAAAAATGGAAATGGGACAGGAAAAGCTAGGCCAGCTAGGCCTCTCTCACTTTCGAACAAACGGGTCAGCTGGACTGATGCCACACTCTTCAAGGCTTATGCAATGATTGCTCACCACATTTCCAGCTGCTTCTCACCCCATGTCTTGTAGAACTCGAACCTCTGCTATGGCCCTGCTGCAATGAGATGCCTCTTCCCAGCTGCCCGCTGTCTCAACTTCCTGTCTGCGTTGTTGAAGTACCTCCAAGGCGCGTCTGAGACGTAGCCGATTGGCATTTGAGAAGGTCACCATTCTGTGGTGGTCAAATTGATCCAAGCCACTGTACTGAAGTTCTGCCCACTCATCTGGGTCGCCTACCTCCTCTATGGAACTTTGGAGGTAACGGTCACGGCTTGATCTCGGGCTTTCATCCATGGCTGCATCTTCATCTGCATCCTCACTGCCAGCTGTTGCAATCCCTGTTTTTTTCTTCGTCTGTTTGTCCCTCAGGAACTGTTCTGTCATCTGTACGGCCATTCAACTGCCTCGCATGTTGGTATGCTACGTCTGCAATGTTTTTGTTTGGACCGAAGGGTTCTGCAATGGGTTCATCTGCCATCATAGGCATGTCATTGCCACCTGCCAGGTGTTCAGCTGCTCCAACATTGGTCACTCCACCAGTCAGATATTCGTCAAGGGATTGGAAGACTCCTTCAATGTCAACCATCATTTCCCCTCCTTGACCTGCTGCTCTGAACCTGTTGTGGAGGTAAACAATTTCGCACTTCAGCAGCCACCAGGAAATCCACAAACTGGGTTTCATGAACCATCTGTATCGGAAACCAATCAACCAAGGAGCATTGCGTGTTGAGAATCCATGCAAAACCCAAAAGTTTCTCCAGATCAATGGCTCTCCAAGCATGACAATCAATGCCATCGCAATTGCAACACACCTGCAACTTGAATCATGAAGAAGAGAATCCAGACCTTTGTAGGGAAAATGAAATGAGGTACCACCAGCAGCCATCCAATCCTAGACTCCGAAACTGTCCACAAAACCATCTGGAAATCATCAATGCCGCTGTTTGTACCATCATCGTGCGCACATCTTTTCAATTGCATGCACATGTTCATTGTAGTCGAACTACTTGTTCTCTTGTAACACGGTTCAACCTTCTGACTTGGCGCACTGTGCCGTCATCATTTTTTTCATCCTCACCAGGCGCAAACAAGCCAATCAACTTTCCAAGGACACCGCGTCGCTCACTTCCAAGTCTCTTTTTTTCAGGGATCCAGGATTGATTTTCCTGTTGATCTTGTGCGCTGTGAAAATTCCACTCCGCAAAAGGTTCTGCAGAAACAACTGTTTATTTTCCCAAACCCAAAAACCACGGACATCCTTAAACTAAGGTGCTTTCATGGGACATACATCTACTAAGATACCAAAACTCATGAAAGCATATATATATATATGTACGTATACATATTCTTTTCAAATATATATATATATATTTATATTTATATTTATCTATTTACTTATTTATTTATTTATTCTATTTTAACATGTAAAACTCGGCGAAGCACAAAAACTGCATACTCCCAAAAATCAAACGGATCACGTCGAACGGCTTCACTCGCGCTTATGAAATTCTTCACTTTTTACTTCTTAGCTGATGGGGAGATCATGCCGCCCGCATTCGGGGGAATAAAAAGAACACGCAATATGTACAAGTGGCATTCCACGCGCATTCTAGTGAAACAAAAATGGATAAGGTGCATTCACCGAAATATCCAGGGTGGGTGGGGGGCTCAAATGAAAATCGCACCACTAAAAGAAGTGGAACCCACCCTCCGTCCCTTTGGAGGCGCTTACTTGAGATACAAAGCCACAACACAACATATATGTACTCACCTGCCAGATAATCTTGGTTACACTTCTGAGTGTGATTGTGTGTGTGTCATCCTTACGCAAAAAACGTGCAAATGAGAACTCAGAACATTGCAAACAACGTTCAAATTGAAAGTGACATGTTTGAAGCTGCCCGTTAAAAGAAGTTCCAATTGCTCAAAAACAAGGTAACGCCGCCCGTAAAGACGCGGGCTGTTTTGCAATCAGGGATTTCTGATGTGCTTCAGGACATGTGGCACAGCTGTCCAAAGGTCTTTGCCATTGTTGCATCTGTACTGCCAGCTGTAGGTCCATTGCCAAAGGCTTTGATTGACATGGCCTGCCTTTGACTTTGTTGCTAAAGTTTTAGGCAGGTAATCTTTCAAAGATCGCCATTGCCTATCCAGCACCTGTGTGCCAGCTTTCACAACGTCCCCTGCACGTGTGCGAACTGTACGAGAGAATTCAAGCAAAGCATGTTTCCAAGGAACGTTAACATCACCCCACCCCCCCCACCCCAACCCCAGCGTATGTCACGTACCGCTTCCAAGGAACGTTAACAAACACATCATCCCCCCCCACCCCCGCCCCCCCCTACCCCCAACCCCATCGTATGTCACGTAGACCGCTTCCAAGGAACGTTAACCATCACCCCCCCCCCCCCCCCCCCACCCCAACCCCATCTTATGTCACGTAACGCTTCAATTAACTTTAACTCAATCACCACCACCCCCCCCCTCCCCTTCCACCCCCACCCCACCACCAAACCGCTTCCAGTACCGTTAACATCAGACTCGCCCCCCCCCCCGCCCCACCGCCAAACTCCGCTCTTATTTCACGTACCGCTCCCAAGGAAACCTTTACATCAACCCCCCCCCCCACCCCAACCCCAGCGTATGTCACGTAAAGCTTCCAAAGGAACGTTAACATCAGCCCCACCCCCCCACCCAGACAACCCACAAAAAGTATGAACGCCGTAAAGAACGTTAAAAACCCCCGCGTCTCTACGGGCGGCGTTAGCGAAAACAAGAACCTAAAACAAAGCCACCGTTGGCAAAAGGAACCCAGCACAGCTACCAAATGCCACCACAAACCCTGATGCACAAGCGCAAGGAGACGTGGAGAACGCACGCAGAGAACGCTAGAGGAGTTCGACTAGAAGCTGCTCTCAGCTTCTCTTTAGGGAGAGGAAAAATAAAGTTTCATCAGCATGCTGAGTTGCAACTTATTTTTCCAAACCCAAAAACCGCGGACATGGATCGTTTTGTCACGATTGGGCGTTGCACTGCTCAGTCTTGTTTTGGTCTCTTGATGCGTTGTTTGTTTTTGGGTTCCCCCCCTTCGCCCCCCTAGACTCCTAATGCGGCAGCTTTGCGGAGACTCCTGATGTGGCAGCTTTGCGGGTCGGATTGTGTATGTTGCCGGTTAGAGAATAATAGTATATATTTTAAACCGGATAAATCCTTTGTTCACATTGGGGGAAGAGTTTCGATTTCATGACTCCAGCAGATTCCGTAAGAAGGCTGGAGATGCAAGAATTCGGTTTACCACAGTTTTGAGCCAGTTTTGATGTCCTTAGTTGCGGAGTCTTGCCGGAGTCGGGCGGAGTTGGTGCACCACCTGTAGCCTCCGTTACAACGGGGAAAGAGTTGAAAGAGTTCCAGCTTTGTGACTCCAGACGTCTCCGCAAGATGCGCAAGATGATGTCATTAAATTGTTCGATTTGTTTGACGCGCATTTTTGGGGTTGGAAAGGTATATAGAATTTGGACTCCCAAAGGCGGTCCTCCCCAGTAGTTGCCAGTGGGAAGCCTCAGAAATAGGTAGAACTAGTTGCAACTAACTCCCTAACCTTAGGAGGCCCCAGAAATAGTTACAATTAGTTACAACCAACCCTCTAACCTTGGAAAGCCCCAGAAATAGCTGAAACTAGTTACAACTAACTCCCTAACCCTGGGAACCCCAGAAATAGTTACAACTAGATACAACTAACCCCCTGACTCTGGGAGTCCCCAGGTATAGTTGCAACAGTTACAACTAACCCTCTAAGCCTAGAAAGCCCCAGAAATAGTTCGAACTAGTTACAACTAAGATAAATATTGAAATGTTGGCTGTTGCTTTGTGGGAAGAGAGCGAAGAATTTGACCCGAATAATGACCTAGCATGTCGCGCAGTGCTTGCTCGGGTAGAAGAGATGCAAAAAGTTGAATAATGGCGCAACACGCTGACCATTGCTTTCCAGGGCTAAGGAGGGAAAGTTTTGAATATGTAATGATTCAGCATGTTGACGGTCGCTTTGTGGAGGCCAAAAATTAAGCAATGAGGTAGCATGTTGACCATGAATTTCAAGTAAGGCACGGAACGTTAGGGTTGTGG